GCATAAAATATGGATCTGATGCAATGCTACTATACAAGCAATCCCGGTGAGAGGGGATATATGCAGAGACTGTGGGATATATGGATGCTTCGAAACCCATTATCAACACTGACAAAGAAACAACTCATAGCTCAGCGTTCAGCAATCATCTCCTATCACAACTAAAGATTGATTAGGTACAACAAATATGCCTTGGAGAAGGCTAGAGGCCAAGATCAAGGCAACACAAAGAGAGGTTCGTCAGCTCTCAGAGATACAGAAAGGAGCAAGGAAGGGGCTACCTAAGAAATACAACATGCTGTTGATACCTGAGGCTCTGGAGACTGCCAAACAAAGACTTACCGCTCTGGCTACCGGCCTAACAAGGGAGAAGCAGAAGCCAGGAGAATAAACCGGATGTTCTCCACCGAACCATCACAAGTGTACTCTCAGTGGCTGGGTAATAACACAAGATCAGATCTACCCAGGGCTGAGACTGAACAGTACTGGAAGAACATATGGGAGAAAGAGGCATCCCACAACATCAGTGGCTAGTGGATCCCACAACACTCAGTGGCTAGTGGATCTAAGAACAGATTACAGCAATCTCCCAGAACAAGATCCAGTAACCATTACAATGGCAGACATCCAAGAAAGAGTGGCAGGTATGAAGAGCTGGACCAGGCCCTGACATGATCCACACCTACTGGCTGAAGAAACTAATTGCACTCCATGAACGCCTGGCAGCACAAATGATCCACCTGCTGATGGATGGAACCCACCCAGAATGGTTAATCCAAGGACGGACAGTCCTAATCATGAAGGATCCCCAGAAGGGAACAATCCAATCCAATTTCCGGCCAATAACCTGCCTCTGCACAACATGGAAGCTCCTGTCAGGCATCTTAGAGGTTAAGAAGAGTAGGCACATGGCTCAATACATGGACACTGGTATAATAAACTGGCCAAAGGAGGAGATAGACGCCACTGACGTCAAGACAAGAAAGCTCCTCACAATGCATGGAGGGTTTCACCCCAAATCCAGCACCCTGAGACTGTACACTAAGCGTAGCGAGGGACGCCGAGGGCTAGTGAGTGTCAAGACCACTGTCCAAGATGAAATACAAAGATCCAGGAGTACATCAGGAAGATGTCCCCCAAAGATGAAGCGCTTAGTGAATACCTCAGGAAGCAGAAACCCGAGGGTGAGGACAAGGAAGACGAAGAACCTTCATGGATAGGCATGTACCACAGCCAAAGAGAAGAAGTGGCTGATATCAAGAAATCCTACCAGTGGGTGGAAAAGGCTGGACTGAAGGACAGCAGAGAAGCACTAAACATGGCGGCACAAGAACAGGCACTCATTACAAGATCAATAGAGGCTGGGGTCTACCACACCAGACAGGACCCCAGGTGCAGACTGTGCAAGGATGCCCCTGAGACAGTACAGCACATAACAGCAGGGTGTAAAGATGCAGGCAGGAAGTGCGTACATGGAACGCCATAACCAGGTAGCTGGCATAGTGTACAGGAACATCTGCCATGAGGATGGGCTGGAAGTCCCATGGTCAAAATGGAAGATTTTTGTGTATTATTTTGCTTTATTATACAAATAAGTTATTGGGCTTGTTAACATCAACTGATGTTAATGTTACAAAACTTTAATTGACTGAAATCATTAAATAATTGGGCTTATTAACAAATTAATACTGTATTATATATAAAACAGTATTGCACTTTGTGGGAGCAGTGACGCTGCACTTTGGACTGAAGGTTGACAGGTCAAGTTTGGGAGTTGAAATGCGAAGGACATCACACAGATGGCTGTCGGTCATTTTGGTTCTTAGTCTGCTTTTGTTCAGAGTTAACAGCGAAAATGTTTGCTCAGATATTTTTGTTGAGCAGAACAGACTCAGTATTTTTTTTGCATGGCTTCTCATCAGAGGAAACTTGGCCTTTTCTGAACACCGGTAGAAGTAAGGTAGGGAGAGGAGCTTTTTTTCACTTTATTTGCATCCATCAGGAAGGGAGTCGAGAACACCTTGATTTCTTTCTCAATGACAGAAAAATCCTGGAAGCGCCGACTTAATTCTTTCATGAGAGATGTTATCACAGACACACATTTCCTTCCTTTTTAGCAGAAAGGTCAGCCTTTGGAAAAGTACATTTGATTATGAACATTGTGCAACACTGAAGTTGCGTATTTGTGTCTCAAAGAGATGAAGCTTTGCACAGAAAGCTTTCCTGTGCGCATAAAGTTGCGTCTCAAGCTGGTCTCTGAACACTTGTTCAGCGTGTTAAGATGATAAGTAAGATCAACCAAAAATGCAAGGTCTGCCAACCACAGAGGGTCACTCAGCTCATAATCATCAATTTCTGATCTCAGGGAATAAACCCGCCACAGCACGGAGCCGCAACTTAGCCAGCTTAACTGAGAATGGTACAGTAGGTCGCCGTATTCAGCATCGACATCAGATAAAAAAGCTAGAAATTCTCTATGGTACTGCAACAAGCAGCTCCTCCTTAATGCAAAGGTTATCCTCAACTCTGTGCTTCCATCACATGCAATCGAGTAAAAGATTTGCTCAATGTTCTCTTCTCGCTCAGTACCAGTGTAAGATGTGTAGTTCTAATGTTGGTTTCATAGCATTGTCGTACATTATACTATCTCATCACTGCAATTATGCACTGCAGTATGTTGTTAGGATTTGCGGCCAGTGGTCCATTTTTAATTGGCCCACAGCTTTAGTTTGGACACCTCTGCTCTAGAACAACCTTGCAGAGAAGACTGTGCTTGAGTAGTTAATTTACTTTTATGATCTTACTTTTATTTTCTAGGTCAGTGTATGCTCTCTATGCTTGTACTTGACCCTGTGGTACCTTTTGTTGTAAAAAAACAAAACAAAAAACTGTACCTTATCAATGTCTTTTGTGATTCCTGCAAAATTCTTGCACATAAACTTCTCTCTTTCCTATAGCCAAGTACTGAATTGTGCTTTTTCCTATTAAAAAACATTGCAGTAAGAATCGTTTCATATGGCTGTGTGTTTTAACATCTTTATTATACATTAACAACTTCTGAACTCAAGATTTTATAGCACTAAGACTGCAGTGGCAATGCACCAAGCCCACAGCAACATTTGCAATCCAGCAGTGCCATGAATATGGAAAGGATGAAAAATAATAGCAGAGCTACTTCATGCTGGCTCCGGCTTGACCTCGCACACTTGGCTCCTGCACCAGCAACTATAGCTACAATTCATCCATGTGAAGCAGCATATAAAAATTTTCAATGTGTCCTTTGAGAGTTTTTAAATGTCCATACCATAAGACAGTTAAGTCATGATATTTCATACATTTTCGTAGTGCCATTTATTTCCTTGCATGTCCCTCTGAGACCCATGCATTTATGCATTTCATCAGGGAGATCAGAGCTCAGGGACACCCCAAAGTGCTAACCCTGCACCTGGGAGGAAGTGACAATGTTTTGTTAAAGGGCGTTTTAATAGGTATTCTACATGCATCTGCTTTTCAAATTTTGCTCATATTTTTTCTAGAATAAAGCCCAGCCAGAGATACTAAATAGTATCAACACGTAGCAATAAAAGACATCATATCAATTTTTGCAGCTACACCTCCCTTGCTGGTTTTGAACATGTTCCAGTTACTGATGTCTCCCTGTTGTTGTGCCTTCAAGTTCATGCAGGCTCAGCCACACTGCCAATGTAACTAAATCATGGTAATCTTCTCTGTTCAATGATGTAAGATGTTCCTATTATCATAACAGTTCTGGCCAATTCTGATTTGAGTATTCAAAGAGAAGCTGCTGGTGGGCTGCATGTCCCAGTATCTCACTTGATATTGCACATCCAAAATGCATTTTAGTGTCCACACTGATTAGAAAAAACATGGAATGGACAAATAAGAAATCTGACTCTTTCAAGCAGATAAACACCCATTGATATTCAAATTCTGTCTACAATACCTCTGTCCACTTTACGCAGATTTGTACAATATCCAGAAAGCCTAACCACAGTTCCACATTGCAAAAACTGAGCTCTCTCTCAAAAACAAGAAAAAGAGCATTAAAACGGGGGAAATATTACTTAAAATAAGCAAAATTATCTGCCAACAGAACAAGAATATTTGGTAAGAAGAAATATCTTGTCAGACAAAAAACAAGTATATTTTGCCTTCAATTAAGATAATTAATCTTACTAAGATTTTAGTTTTTGCAGTGCAGTGTTTTCCTGTTGTCTTGATAAAGTCTTGGTGAGTTTCTCTTTTTAATAGAAATGCTATTTTACAGGGATTTCACTGTTACCTTTGTGGAAATGTTCAATATTAATTTTTTACAGCTTCTATGAGCAATATTGTAATTCTGTGATTACATTATATTCTTTTTACCTATCTGGTGATTATTTTATGTAGATACTGTATATACTGAAACCAAGAGCTCTAACCACATTTCCAGTTTGTGACTTCAACAGTCACAGCATAACTGTCATGTCCGCAGATGAACCATTTGGTTTAACTAGATGGACTCTGCAGTTAGTGTTACTATAGCTTGCTCTGGCCAAACAGATGTTGATTGAAATTTAAGACCATTTCCATGCAACACAATACTATTGTGCTCTTTCTCAGTCAATTAAAATCCAATATGATTTGACCTAGGACACACATAATGAATTCTAGGATTATACAGAAACATGATACAAGCCGGTGCTGTCCTCCAATCAGCGGCGGTATAATGGAATGCCCTGCTCATATTCAACACACAATTACACTAATGACACCGCATTGCTGTAGCCTCGTGATCCTGCATCAAAATAAGGATATTCATCATGGTGATTACAGCTTTCTACTGGAAGGCTTTATTTATGCGTTTGGGTGGGACGTCAGACTACTGAGCACCTTGGTTTGATGGTTCCACACATAAATAAGTCATACCCCGAGGCTATCCATATTTTATCAAACATCTTCATCTATAATAGACGCTGTTCGCCAGCCGAGGCCCTCACCTGATAGGGGCCGTCTCATCGCCCTTGTCCAGCCACTCCTGCGGAGGGATGATGTACATACACCACAGCCCCCAGTTGTATCCATGGGCGGCGTTGGCGTACTGCTGCACCTCAAATGTGTTGTACTTGATGTTGTCTATGGCGGGCAGGATGATGCGGGTATGATCCTCCTTCATCCGGGTCAGAATAGGTTCAGCCCTTTGGATAAGACAAGAGGCAGAAGTTAAGAGGACTTTCTGAATTAAGTATGCAGATTTGAAGTAATAATATTAGAATGTATAGATTTGGTTTCGAGAATGACCAGATGGATAATGCAACTGATGTGAAAGCTGTGAATGTGGTTTCACAGAAACATTGAGCAATCAACCCAAATATTTTTTGAAACATACTGAACAGAGGTATATAGTGTAGATCCTGATCCCTAGAAACAATGCCAGGAGCAGCTTTGGATGACTGCAGATGTCATCTCAACTTTCACTCTAGGTCTTCACCGTCGTTGCCATCTGTCGAATCAGCATTTATTTATCATTCAAAACAATTGCTAGGATCTGCTTCCCTCCTCTGTTTATGATGTGAAGGTCTTGCAAAATGAATTTTTTGTGGAACAACAAATAATATCATATCATATTTTATATCCGCTGCTCGTGAAAACGAAATGTCAAAATGTGACACTTATCCCGGTGAGAGACTTGATAAGAGGTAAAACCTGATAAACCAAAACACATCAGGTGAAAAGAGAGGCTTAGTCAGCTCCTGGAAAAACTATCCACTTGTTCTTTTTTCCCGTCTATGTGAAGGGATGCAAGTCAGTTTCCAAGAAAGTCCTTTCTCCACTCTGCATCTCATGGCTTTTGCTCCAAGGCAGCTTTGGCTGGCACACATTCTTATAGAGCACATCAAATGGAGAGCAGGGGCCATATTCACAATACATCTTGGGGCTATGAGTAGCTCTTAACAGGCCAATTTGTGAGAAACATCTCAAAATGATAGGCTTAATAAACACATATAAAAGACATTAATAAAATGTTTTTGTCCTCATGTATCATTTTAAGAACAGCTCCTGAGTCTGTAGAAAGTTAGAGGTAGTGAAGACAACTCAAAAGTCACAAAAAAACAAGTCACAAATTGGAAAATGGAAGCTGCTGGCAACCGTCTAGCAACTGGTTCAATAGTTTTGAAAGACTTTAAAACCTTCAGGTTTAAAAAAAAATGTATTAAAGGTATTGTGTATGTTGATGATGAGAGCAGAGCTAGTTACAATTCATGTCAAATCTACAGTCAACACCGACTTCTTTTGACAGAGTAGTTTGACATGAAATATATTTATTTAATTTCTTATCAAGAGTCAGATGCGAAGATTAACAACAGTCTCATGTCTTCAGTGCAGAGCTAGAGTTAGAAAGCGATTAGCTTAGCTCATCATGAACACTGGAAACACCTACTATTCTAATACCAACCAGGGGCCAGATACAACTCTGTTGATTCCCAACTAAAAGTGTGTGCATGCACAAAGACTGAAAACAGATTTATAAAGCTACATGTATGCCTGGTTCTGTTTTATAATCTCAGTCACTGTGGCTGCACAAGCATGAGCCTCATTTTCACACCCACCAGTTGCCATAAATGGATGCAAACAAGCTTAAACATCCGTTTACATATTGATAGTTGTGCAAGCTCCACCACTCATTAGACTTGTCAATGAGAAGAACGGCAAAGAAGTACAATTTCACAGACTGAGTTGCATCAGCAATGTTTTCCAACAGCACCAGAGCAGCTCACATTACGCACGGCTGTGGTTTTTTATAGAGCCTGTACCATTCTTTCACCACAATATTGGTGATATGTCAATTATCAAACGTCAGAGGGACGATCAATGATTCATTTATAGAGGTATTGAAACAGACATTTAATAAAGTGCTAAAAAAAATCTGAAATGTTGAGAGCCATGGAGATATTTTTAGCCATTTTATTTATTTATGACTTACTTTCACGGATCGGGCATAGTACCGACCGATCACTGACTCTTGTATGGGCCAATAGCCCATGATCTGGACTTCATCAAGGACTCCTAAGAAATGACTTTGCCATGCAGAATCAAAACGTATTAACTAATATGTTATGTAACCATATAAAGATAATGTAAAGTTTTGAGTTAACATTGCTGGGTGCAGGGACAATAACCCTAAACTATCAAGAACTGTTTCTTTATATGGTAAAATAAGTGTGTATGATATTTTTTACAAAACATGGTTCAATATTTTTTAGTGACATGTTTGGTAATTCGGGACACACAGTTACATCAGTGTAGGTCATTACTTCCAACCGTAACTGTTTAATTAAATATATATCTGTATAAGGTTACTTGATAATTTGCATTGGCCTATTAGGATGTGTTATGATGGCTTCATTATGTCCTCACTCCACTTGTTGTAGCCTAGTTGCAGTGTTTAGACTCTAGATAATGAAGGTAAATGACACAGGTAAATGAGTATATGTCTAATTGGAAAATTCATCATAGCTTGCAATAAGAGAAAATGTAAGTTGAAAAGCCACCCTGCCTGATAAAATGAATGAATCTCAGGGTGAAGTTATGCCTGCGTGTGAGAAATGAGACATCCTTTCCTCTGAAGCCTCAGCAGCGTCCATCTCTGATAACAGCAGCAGCTGATCGCAGCTGGATCAGCGGTCAGTCGGCTCTAACAGCTGTAGAGACGTTTTTCATGGAGTTTGTGTCTGCACACTTCTGCACATGAATAAAAATATACATTCTGTATTTGTACTGTGTACTGTGCCCTGCTCAGAGGCACATGATCATTTCTACTGGCAGAATATGTTTATATTATTTATTCATTGTTTTCATCAGTATTTGTTGATATTCTGATTGAATAACCCAGAATGATTAAGGTGTCTTTTGAACAGTGGAAATGATTTATTATTTATTACAAATGATGTGACTCATATCAAACCCAACACTCAAAAATTGTCAGGCCCACTGATGTGACTGAATGGAAATGACGATAAATTATGTAAAAAGTGAGTCTTGCTGACAGACAGGCTTTCCGACTCTCTGTGACTTAAATTGTCTCTGTAATAAAAGCTAATGGGGGAAATAACAGATGATGAAAAGAGAAATCTTTCTATTCATTTAAGAAAGTTGTTTGTGGTCCTTTGTTGTTCCGACCTACATTTAAAACAGAAACTAGTTTTAACTAGAGGGTGAATCAGAAAACAACTTGTGAGTGATACACTTAAGTTTACTATCTTCACCCCAGTATGAAACTCCAGTGATGCTGTGATGTATGAAGATCAGTCTGATTAGCTCCAGCGTCCAATCAAGAACTGACACTTCAGCAAAGGCTGCTCTTGTGTATCCTCCCTCAGGGCTCCTAAGAGATCTCCTCCTCGCTTCTCGGAGCACAAATAAGAGCACTGGGACTGCCTGCAAGATGGCGGAGCAGAACGACTTCCGGTTCAAGCAAGATGTACCATAGAGCGCACACGAAATATTGACTCTTGGGAGCGCCACATGCGCAAGTGAGAAACATACTCATTAGAATCGACTGCGCAATATCGAGCAACTACTGAATTGTCCCTAGCAGTGATTTTGATAAAAAAAAAAATTTAATTTAACCACTGTTGTCCATCAGTGTCTAGTCAATTTATTTGGTACACAAACCGTGAGGGACAAATTGGCAAGAGCGGAGAACATAAAGCAAAAGGTGGAAATGTAGTCTGTCAACTACAAGTATATTAGGGAAACAACAAATAGAATATGTTCCTTAAAGTCATATGTGCATGTTTTAGTATTTCCTGGCAGTCTACAGTTATACAGACCTGTAAAAAGTTTGGGCGCAGTGTGGCATCTTTCCTCTGACCGGTAGCTCTGTGTCGCTGCTGCCTCTCAGTTCCCCTCCACACCTTAGCTCTGTTTGGGTGTTAATGTTAACATTTTTGTGGATTTGTGGTGAGATTTATGACTCGTAATACGGTATTACCACTTTCTTTCGCAACTTTATTATTGTGGGATAGATTTTGAATGTACAGAAAGTTTTGAACATGAGCAGGAAACTTGCTGAAACAAAGAAGCTATTAAAGCCCAGGCGTTTATACCTGAATTAAAATGAATTCATTTATCATTGAAAAGGTGCCAAATGCAAATTTCAAAAGGAGGGAATATTAAATCATGCCTACATGTGTGTTGAGTTAGAGGGTATGATATTCAATGAGAAAAGTTGATTCATCATTCATTGCTGCATTCATTGCATTCATTCACATTTAACCATAGTTATTCATGGTTGCCTTTGTTTATTCATTTGTTGTATATATATTAGTAATGTGTAGTTAGTTTACTGTTGGTGTTTGTTATGTGTCTAGTTAGTTTAAAATTAATTTATAAAGAAATTGATTGTTATGTGGTTTGTGTGAAATATGTACATGAGTTAAGAACTCTGAAGCAACCTTCAGATCGAGACTAAATTAATTAATATGCTATCAATTTTCCCCTTCTCAAAGGATTCTGCTCCGAAGTGAATTTAATGTGAGATAAATGTGAATATTGATTTCTTCTGACAGCTGAAGTGCAAGCAAATCCACTTCCTCTTTCCAAAATTAAGGTCATTCGCTATAATTATTTCAAGGCATTCTAAGCAATATGAACAGCGACAGTAAAACCACAACTTTTTACATTACTGTTCTTACACTTCAAAATACTGGCTGAGGAGAGTTGGGGATCGAACCACCAATCTTCCAATTAGTGGACAACCCACTCTTCCTATAAGCCACTGCCACCCAAGCCACGATGTGACATTCTCTCCATTCCTTAAAGTAAAAGCTGCTCTTAGCAGTTTTGTTAAGGGGCACACTGTGGTACCATTAAGTAGAATTTGTACTAATAAGATAAAATACTCCTGATTTTTGTTGCCTGTGTCTCTTGGACACTGCAATGGTTTTTCATCGATGCTACCAGGGATGTAGCCAGATTTTTAGAAATAAAATGCTAGTGGTCACAAATTTTGAAATTACTTTTTTCATTTGAGTTTCTCATTGCATTGAAATCCCTTTTACTGTCAAACAAATGGAGCAGTGGAGCACAATTGCAATATATTTCAGGTTTTGCCCTATTTGCAAAAAAAGACAACAATATGGTGTTCAGAAAAAATACACCGGACATGAACTCAGTGTCCTCAACGTGAGCTACG